GAACACTCACGGCAAATTTGCTTGTAAAAAAAATTCTTTTAACTCTAAATATTCACGTTGAATAAAGTTTAGGAGAAAATTAACAAATCTAACAAGTCTTTTTTATGATGCCAATCCTAAATATTAAAACTTAATAGAAATGTTAAAGCTTACGTTGCGTTAATCATTATATAAAGATTGTATAGTAAAATAAGATGCCGATCGAAAAAACTCTTTAGCACAAAATTCGATGGGTGACATGGCGGCGTCCATAAATATTGACTTGAAATAGAAATCGTATAACTAATAATTGGTAATTTTATTATAGAAACTACGTATAATATATATAATGTAAATCTATCTAGTGGTTTAGGAAAAAATCAGAATTATGGCATAAGCATTCCATAAAAGAATATTTTACATAATGCTTTTATTTATACAATTTCATATAAAGAGTGTTATTTTAGAGTTTTGATTTTGCAAGTGAAATAAAACCCATCGAAAACATGGTAATGTTCTGAAAGTGTCTTAACATAAAATTTAATTGTAAGCCATTTATATGTCTGAGTTGAATGAAACACAATCTGGAAATCAAATTTTCTACGAGCTGAAAGAAAGTGAGATTAGTGCTGGATAATTACAGGATCATTATTTTACAATAATGTTCTACAATAATCTGAAGCTGTTGCAAATTGTTTGTTCATTGATTTTAGAGTTTTTAAGAAAAGGTTACTTTGAAAAATTATGAGTTAGTGATTCCAGTATTCTCACGAACCATGGACACCAATGTTTATTTCAATTGGTTTAATAAATATCTCCGCTGTCAATTGTGAATATTTTCTGTGAAACAGTGTTTCCAAATTAATAATCAATTTTTACAAAAATATGTCCTTAAATTTTTTAACAATTTCATGAAGTAATAATGCATTATTATTAACAAATATATTTTATTTAGTTATTTTGGGTATTTCATGTATGAAATATTTTAATTATTTAATTAACTTTTATTTATATATTTATAGCAACAAAATCAATATATTAAAGTATATAAGTAATAATTAAAAAATGTCTGAGATTTCTTAAGTCAAGTAGAAGGTTACCTACTTCAAATGGCAATGAGAGAAAAATGGTGCATGATAGATATGATCGTATATAATTGAGTTTCCGGTATTATGCTAATTTACAAAAATTTTGAGAAAAATTGTTTTTCTTTAAGAGTTATGACAATTTTTCCAAAAAAATATTCTTTAAAAAAAATCAATATCCAAACCTATTTACCTAAATAGGTAAATAGGACATATAAGGACACATATATTAAATAGAGAGGCTCTTAATGCAAAATAATTAAGATTTGAGATTTTAACTTAAAGAATTGAACCTTTTTTATACGAGGGACACTATTTATATTTTTAGTCCTGGCAACACTGATTGTTGTCAGATGTCATCTGACGTTTCTATACGAATGTTTGACATTATTAAACATAACCTACCTTAGATTTTTTGTCAAAACAGCGTTAAATGTGTTTTTTACAGTGATTTGTAAATTGAGTGTTCTCGAAAAATTGCGATTAACTCGAGAAAATTTTCGTGCGATGATTTATTATGAGTTCCAAATGGTACAATCAGGAAACATTGATGCTGTGCAAAAACTGATAAGGCATTAATACCACCAGCTTACTCGTATTTAAAATATTGCACGATCATTTAGCCGTGAGAAAGGTTTGTTCCCATAATTTGACAAAATCTCAATAACATGTTCGTGTCGATTGGTCCACACAAATGTTCAAGAAGAACAATGGCAGTGCATCAAAAGACGTATATACGATTGTAACAGGTGACCAATTATGAATATATGCGTATAAGCCGGATATATTCATGATCGTAAACAGCAATCGACTGTATGAGTGTTTCAAGATGAACCAAATCCAACAAATGTTTGCGCTCGAAGCGCTTGGAAATAAATGATCGCTTGTTTTTTCGGGAAAACTGATCACATAACAACTGTATCATTACAGGAATGTAAAACGGTTAATTCCAAATGATATACAACGATTTGTCTTCAGTGAAACAAACGGAATATGGAAAACAAACAAGCACCGTCTGCTCATTTTCCATCTCCAACAAAACAATGCAAGTGCTTACACATATCGTTTAACAACCGATTATTTGAACATTCAAAAAATCGAAATTATGAGTCATCCGCCGTACAGTTTGGATACTGATTTGGCAACCAATGACTTCTTCTTGTTCCCGAATCTCAAGAATACTCGTAAATTGCGTGAATAATGATTTTCGTCGGTGGAAGAAGTCGTTGTTGCATTTAAAAAGCATGTTTTGGAGGTGTCTGAGGAGGATTGGAAAAAATGCTTTGGCAAATGGTTTGTGTATTAATCATAAAGGAGAATACTTTGAGAAACCATAAAGCAATTTTTAACGAAAAGTTAGTATTTTTTTTATTATTAGGCTCCAAATATAAATAGTGACCCTCGTAAGTTTATTTGATTTCTTTATGACACCAGAGTTTCCTTGGTATTGCATACTTAAAGCAATCGTGAATTTACAATGAAATATAATGTTAAACATCCACAAAGATTGAATTAAATTTAAAATTTCTCACATGTGAGAAATGTCATTGTCAATTTGTCATTTAAAAGAATTATGTTAATTTCAATTTAGCAATAAATGAGCCGCATATTTTGAATAGTTCTATTTCTGTATACTTTGTATTATATTCAACCGATGGTGACATCGCCGATGATCTCGCAGTACTGGTATATTGAAGAAATGAAATGAAAATTCTTGATTTTATCAAAGTTCAAGTAACCAATGACTGGACTGTCGCTTGAATTAGGCTTTAGTACTCTATAAGATATACGAATGTGTAGGAGGGGCATTTACATCTTCTACACAATGCATATTAAATATACGGGTACTTGCTTATCAAAATTGTTGACGTAAATATGTACATATTTCCGTATTAGATATATAATTTCAATCTTTAAGTGTCAATTGCTTTTGCTTTAATCATGAATGTTTATGCGATTTACAATGGATCATACTTCAATTGTGATAATTCAATAATACGAAGTAATGAACACATAATGCATTTTATTGTCACTTAAATTTTTTTTTGTTAGATATATATCTATATACACGACTGTATATTTTGTACCTGAATTGAAACAATATGATTAATTTCAATAATCTTAGTCATACTTGACACTTGATGTCTTGAAAAGACAAACAAAACCGCTGTTGTACTGTCGATATTTTGTCTGTTGTTATATTACTAAAGCAATAATAATGACAAAATATTATAATTTCCTGAAAATTACTCAATTTTGTTTTTGACAATAAGAAATACAATAAAATATAATTATTTTGAAAACTGTTGATATGCGTAATGCAAGTATACTCATATATAAATATCTTCAATAAAATTTTTACCACTCTATAATCGGTCTACTCACTTGTAATAGCATTATGGGAAAGTAATGCTATTTCAAAAATAATAATTTCTCTTAACTGAATTAAAAAGATTTGATAGATTCTTATCATTTAAAGTCATTCTTTTATCATGTGTCATTTCAACATACCTGAACTTGAACTTGAGTCTTGAATTGATTTGATAGGCGTCTATTATGTGATATTACAGCATCACTAAACTGTAAAGTGCTTACAAGTTTAAAGAATACAATAGTATACTATATTGAGACTATATATAAAAAATGTATCTAGTGATTTTGTTTAAAGGGTGAATTACATCGTATTATCCAAAGCACGTAGTATTCTCTGTAAGTAAACAAAATCCCTGCATTCTTTATTCCGGAATGCTTGGGTCACATAATCTATAACTGTTTAATAATTTTGCACATAACAATATTTACTTAATCTAAGGACATATACTTATTTATGAGAGAGAGTTGGTTTAAAATTAATTCAAAGTTATACGCCACTATCTTTATTGTTCATCGTGCTGTGCCCTTCTCAATCAAAATAATATCTTATTGTCGCTATAATAGTCTGAAATTTGTAGTTTAATTATTTTTTAAATAGTTAATATGTAAATAATAAATGTTAATCGTAAATCAGAAGAAATTGTTTCAGGTATTGTAAAAATTTATATACGGAGATTGTATTTACTAATGCATTAATTTTTATAGTAAAAAACTATAGTTGAAACAATGTATTTATATGTATACTATTATTGACTCTATGTTCTGTTGTGTTGAGATACAAAATGCATATGAAAATATGTAAAAGGGGTTCGATATGTCTAAGTGTAATATATAATGATAAATCCAGATTATTATATAATAAAAAAAATTAATAGATATTAATTTCGGTTAATTTAATAATTTATTAGTTATTTTTAGGTTATTAAAGCCAAAAAGAGGTGCACTTGTTAGGACTACCGGTTGTTTTATAACAATGTATAGCACGATTTACTGCTAGGAGTTTGATGGTTTAAGATATAAATGAACTAATCAATACAAAACTGCAATAACGATTTTATATGACTAATATTTATTTGTCAAAATAAGTTTATTTAATGTTAATAATCAATTGCAATCAAATAGATATAGTGGACTGTGTGCTTTTTTATTTTGCATACTGTTAACACTCAAATATCAAATTTTACAAAGTATCTTTTGCAATGTTTTGCTCATTTGATGTAACTGTTATATGATTTAAGCTATTATATATTTTTGATGCTCAACAGAAACATACCGTTGTTTAAGCTTTGATTCCCAGTAGTTGGGAATTTGACCTAACCGACATAATGGTCCAACTGTCAAGTAATTACTCATGCAAAATATATGATGGTTTCGTAGTATGTAAATTTATGGTTTAAAATGATTTAAAATTTGAATATTTAAATTTAAATTATTTTTACACTTTTTAGT